AAGAACATCCGGCTCCGCGCTCACCTTTTCGACACTGCTGTCCTTCCTGCTTTGACGTACGCCTCGGAGACCTGGACTCTACGAAAGCAGGATGAGCATGCTGTCAGCGTTACTCAACGCGCTTTGGAAAGGACGATGCTCGGAATTTCCCTATACACGCAAGTGCAGAAGGGAATCCGGAGTTCCGAGCTCCGTCATCGAACGAAGATCAGGGATGCCGTTGATTACGCCAAGAAATCGAAGATCAGGTGGGCCGGACACGTTATGCGATATAGTGATGACCGTTGGACCAGGGCGGTCACTGACTGGATCCCTCGGGACATCAAACGAACTCCAGGAAGGCCGCCAACGAGATGGTCAGACTTCTTCACGAAAGCTCTGAACGAAAGGAATGTTGAACCTCGTGTCCCTGAAGCGAGAACGATTCACTGGACCACTCTGGCTCGTGACAGGGACGAATGGAGACGTTACTGGCGCCCGCTCGAGGAAGTCGATGATCAACGGGACGACAGGTAATACAGGTAATACAGGTAATGCCCACGAGATATACCGCACGAGATAAAAAAGGCGGTAGTCAGTGGAATGCACTGCTATTATGGACACTTCTCTCATAGGAACAAAGTCTCTCGTCCTGATCGTGCAGTTCATTTCTTGAGGTAGAATGCGTATTTGCGTTTATCCCTAATTACCTGGGAAATCACTATGCTCTCACTCCTGTTTCATATGTACGGGTGCATTGGTATGGAACTCAGACAAAATAGTTTTTTGTTCTTCTAGTTTTGATTAAAATTCTCTGCCTTTCAATTTGATTTTGAATACTTTTAGTTGTAGATGTTCCACTTTTGCGTTCACATGTTGATTTGGATGAGTTTCAGCGATGCTATGTTTAAATTGCGTTGCTCACCGGTTGGTGTGTCGTGGGCTGCGAATGTTTTGGCTGCTATGCTGGTCAATTCTCATACGAGTACGGTGGAAATTGTTGGGGTGAGTATTTGTTGAAAAGTTATTCTGACCGCTAATACAAATATCCCACTTCAGTAATATACCCCGAGCATGAGCCAGTAAGGTGCTTTGTAATAAAGACTTCAGTTTCTTTTCCTGTATATCATGCGGCTGGTACAGTGAGAGTCATATGGGTCCTGAGAGCTTGTGTCTTTCGCATGCCATTAATTGTTTCCTCACTTAATCTCGAGGATCTATTTTGCTAATTGATGGTCACAATGTTGATACCGTTGCACAATGCTGAAAATGATCTGGACTAGGCATTGCGCTGTATCTGCACTCGTAGTATTTCTTTTTTGGTGCTATGTTCTCTCATTAGGGTCACTCACGAATGCAGCTTTTTCCACCTTTTAGGGGGATAATCATAATATCGGCATTGAGAAATATGCGTGATTATCAGGTAAGGTAACATGGGTTTTAGCTCATTCGACCTTGAACGTTCCGTTCATGACACGATAATCAAAAGCATATCATGGACTTCATCAACATGCTTACTTGTTACTTTTAGATGCCATTTTTCCTATCCTTTACTACTTGTTCTTCTTAACGGAAAAAAAGATTTTTTGTGAGAAAAAATTATTTTCTTTTTTTTCAATTATTGTTCCAACAAGTCATGCAGATAAATGCTTGGATATTCAGGACCATGGAGTTTTGTTTGACCATGCGATTAGTTTCTTGAGTCTTGTAAGCCGTCGTGCACCGTACCATATCGATAAGCTGTCGTTCGGCCTTTCAACGAAACACGTGTCACATATACATTACTGTAAATTCTGGACCAACTTGTTACAACCTAAATCGGTTTGTTTCATTTTTCTGTTACATTGTAGTTATATGAGTAGTCTATGAAGAGCAGACACTAATCTGTAGCGCGTCCAAGATTACCTCTGTCCTTGGCAATCGGCTTCATATTTCAGGTGTTTATCTACTCATTGGCCGGTGGAGTAAAGTTGCAGTTGAGCGACTACTACTGGCTATTCACTCTTCATGTGGATAGAGTCACTTTAGTGAACTGTATGAATCTCGGTCAATTCGTGCTTTATGAAGTGATTAAGGTAAACATCTCTTCTGATAATCACTGTGCTACTCGAACTTAAGCTTTGTTCAGGAATGGTACACTGGTAAAAGAGGATATTTACCTTGTATAGACATCATGTTCTCCAAGGATGAAAGCAGTAGGGCACCTTTTGGAGTTGAAGGCTTGTTAAGAAAGATCAAGTATAAGGTTTTCTACTTTTCTTGCTCGTACATTTGCTCGTTGAATTTAATTTGTTTTCCAATTTGAATTAATTTCATATGGTAGACGAGTCCGTCGTGATTGAGCGAAGGATTGATAGCGACATGAAGCAGATTTACAAGGTCACTCTCAAATTCAACGTAAGGTGTTGGCTTTGTGAAAACAAGGGTTGGTCTCCATGGGTAATGACGGTCCACGGCGCCCGGAATGCACAAGTACCCGGTTAGAGTCCCCGTCGGAGGCGGAATTTTGGTCCACAAATCGCCAACCTTGTGGGTATGCTAACAAGGTTGGTGATCTTTGGCAAAACTTGGGCTTCGGGCGGGACTTTATCCTGTTCTTGTGCTTTGGCACCGTGCTCTTCATTCCTTGCCCTATGGAGACCCCTTGCTGTCGTCTTTTTATGAGGATGTTTCTATAAAAGGTTGGGGCTGAAGAGCTTCTGGGAGATATCTCCTTCCATTTAGTGTGTCCTTTTGTAAATTGAAACGAGAATAACATCCAGATATCCCCTGAAAAGCGCTGCCTGCCGAAATCGTGATCCTGGTACGCACCTAATGGATAATGTTTTCAGATACCCAGTGAAGAACGACTTATAGTAGAAGATTACTGGTCGGTGCAGAGGATGCAGTAATCTGCTGTTAGGTGACCTAGTAAGTCCTGATTGATTATTCTTTTCGGATGTTTAGCTTCGGGAACTTACAGTATTTTAGGGAATCAAAGAGTCAGTAGGAGAGATTCTCCGCAATTTACCTAGGCAGGGTTACGATATGAGATCCCGTCTAGCCTTTTTCTTCTTGTTAGGTTGGTTGTTATGACTCCTGACCGATTTTTTTTTCTATGAGTGTGCTCACCGTCATCTGCATATCCATAATAAGTTTTCAATAAGCGGTAGTAAGGAGTAGAGATTGTAATTTTCCCCGTGCTTTTTATTTTGTAGCGAGTTCTTATTTTTTCTGATAACTTCTTGTTTGTTACCTTTAAAATTCTACACTCTTCCGCTGTGTACTTTGTAGAGGTATTGGGTTCACTACGACAGGTTGAATAGCTTTTTGCTAGTGCTCACTAGTTTTCCTCACGGGATCATATATCGGTGCTGATTTTAGTGATCTTAAAGATCAGTATTATAGGATATGCCAAGAACATTTTTTTTTGCTGATTCAAGCTCAAAATGTCGATTGATTTTTGATTTTTATCGATTCTTGTTGCATGTTAGAGATTCATTGTTGACCTCAGAATTGATTTAGGAGCGAATTATAAACTCTTTATACGAAATGTATTGATACATCAGAAAGGACCACGTTTTTATTTGTATTTATGAAGCAGAGAAGCAAAGGAGGTCGTCACTATTGCTTCATATTTAAGCTAAGGAAGCTGTGGTCACATGCGATATGACGCTTCGCCTCAAATAGCTACTCATGGTCGAGGCAGTCGAAAAGCTCCAGGGCGGTTCATCATTGATTGAACAAATCGTTTTTCGATTGATACTTATGGTAAGGGCGCTGTTAAGAATTGTCCGTAGAGAAAGAGGTGGTTTCCTGGTCCTAGGGTGGTCCCACCCATAATAATTTTGTATTAGAGCTGAATATATTGCCGGAAGAATCTGGGAAGCACTCGGTGTCCTCTCTTTAAGCATGCTCGGGATCAGCAAACGTTTCTGAGGAGAGGTGACCTTCCCAGCTGTGCCTTGAGAGTAGTGGCCACTTAGGCAAGAAAATGTTCTCCGGGCTACTATCAAACTCCGGTCACGGGACGCGGTGCTAGCGAAATCCGGATTTATTCTAGCGTGTATTACAGACGCGTACGACATACAAAGAACAGTACGCGTGTTGAAATCACGCCCGCGAAATTGAACCCGTCATCGGTCACGTAGCGACAGCGCTTATTCGCACTGCTCCAAATAATGGACCAGATCACGGTCGTTGTCGAAACATGTCTCCACAAACCTTTGCTAACTTGAGTCTAACGGTAAGTTTAGTCGATTCTTATGGTAATTCTCTATGGGCCATGAACTTTATTCCTCCCGAGCCATTGGTTAATGATGGCAAATCTTTTTAGTAAGCTTAAGTTCTGAATTCATTTTTCAAAAGGAAATCTAAAAATCAGCCCTAATAGAGGTTGCTACCAAGTGGGGAAAAGCTTCGCTCCTTCTGTCTTCGTATTGGCCTTCCTTGAATTTTTTCTAAAGTTCTTTCAAGTCATCTACCCTTTCGTCTTTTTTTATGGAATTTCTTCATGAATGATTCACACTACTTAGAAAAATAAATCAAAACTTCTAATTCGATGATCTTATTAGATGATTATTTAAAAAATAAATACTGAAGCGTACAGTCAGGTACTTATTTCAACTCGGTTGGTAACCCTTGCTATTCACAGCAGGTGGGTAAGTGATCTTTGTCATGAGCACCAGCTCTGACTATTTATTAGGTTGGCAAATAAGTCCTGCGACAAAAAATTTGAAGCGTTGAAAATTTGTATCAACAGCGTGAACACGGTAGCAAGGGTGATAAACTTGTAGGATGTTCCCCGGGCAATCAACACATGAGTAGATATGGGCACGCGTATGGGCTTTCGCGGCATTACGGTCAATGAATGGACAACACCCGAATCGTATCATCACCTTCTACCAGGCACTCCAAGGGAAAAATGCGAGTGTAGTGGCTCGAAATATCATCAATCTATTCGATGCTAGCACTGCTCACCAATCAACGGTCAACAATCGGTTGGATCGCTTCACTGCGGGAGATACTAGCTTTCGGAGTAGCGCAAGCATCGTCCCTTAATTTAATGGAGGTTGAAGGAATCCATCTACTATGAGTTGATAAACGCATGCTAGATGAACACAGCTATCGCTTACCCCTATGATCCCCTTCATTTGGCCAACTGGGTTAGAGAAGGACCGTCATACCGTAAATCACGTCGCTATAGAGTGACAACGCACGTCGAAAATTCGCTTTAGACCCACGTCAAAAGTTCACCGATCCCGCTTGGTTCCAGTTTACTCATCAGTCGTACTCCCGGAGTGTTCCCCCTTTTAACTATCATGTGCTCCGCCTTTTTGAGCAACCCGCTGTGGAAAAGAAATTCGTAACTTAATGTGATCCGAAAACGGCAGTCAATTACTTCTTCGAGTCACAGCTCCCTCACTCCTGAAGAGATGGTATCAGTGATTGGCTCAAAGGATAAAAGAAGGTTGTTGACATCTTTGGTAAAAATTTTTCCGAAAATTGATTAATATGAAAAAAATTAGAAATGATTGAAAAAAGGTCTCCATTTTGTCGCAGGACTTATTTGCCAACCTAATAGATAATAATGAAGAAATTTATGAGCTTGACGTGGCCCCGATTTAACCTCCGTCAGCTTCATATGTTTCGCATTCTCAATTACTTATTACTATTCGTGATAGTGATTTTCTTTCGGGCAAACTTCAAAGGTAGGCATTTGTGGCGATCATTGATATGGAGTACTTCATTTACATATAGTTATGATTGCTTCCGAGCCTAAGTGAGGAAGTGACAGACAGCTGGACGTCTACCTGACTTATTAGAGATCGGAAGGTACTACGTGACTTGAGTAATTCCTCGTTGAGAGATCATTATGTGTGTTGATTAACGACCGTTGTCGTCTAATCTGTTATTCTAATCAACGTGATTAATCATTTCTCAGTAATGAAAAAACACAAAGTGGTCGTTGGCTTTCATCGAAACTCCCTAGACGGTTTCTTTTGTCTGTCTCCTAGAAATACTACTTTTTTAGTTGATTGGATAATTGTTTTAAAATGGTTACTATTGTAAGCCCCTCATTATTCTGTTGTACTCTTTTCTATTTTTGCTTCTTGTTTACTTTGATAGGATAATTTTGTTACTCATTCATAGAATGACTAAAGGGCGTACATTAAAAGGTTGGTCAGTAGTTTACGGTAAATTGCTAAAGGGCGCACATCACAAGGTTGGGGAGTAGATTACGGTAGATGATAAAGGGCTTGGAAATACATCACGTTACTAGTACAATTTACTGGATAAACTACGACGGCAGGGAAAGAATCAAGGAAAGAGGAAAGGGTAGAAAGAAAGGTGAGCGGAAAGGGGAGAGGAGGGAACGGAGAGGAGTATTTATTTACATTTCAGCATTTTTTTTCCGGTAAACGTAGGCCTTCTTATAAAATTTCTTCTTAAATTTCTTGGCTGTAACATCCTGAGGAGATAGATGGGAAGTTTTCCTTTTTGGATTGCCGATACATTACTTCCATCTGTCTCTTGACAACGTTTCATTCAGTAGGGACCATTTGACCACAAATGGATTAGAAGCCTTCAACTTAATCTTGTACAACTGAATAGTTTTACTATTTGTTACCTAGAAGAACCCGGTATTTTTCCAACTCCAACTTTTCCAACTTCCACTACCGTTTTGGACGGTAGTCAAGTGCGTGGCGCATGCGAATGAAAGGCTACCTATTCAATATTGGCCTTCATGTCTTGGATCTACGTCACTCAATCTTTGGAAGTTACGTATTGCAGATCAAAGGGTCCATGTGATGAAAATCATCTGGAGCTTTAACCACCTGTCGCAAAGATCATCGTGCATATAGTGGTTGGCTTGTCATAACACCTAAGAGAGACATACGGCACCCAGGTGGGACTGGGATTAAAAAGGCGAAGATTCCTTGAAAACGGATGAAACGGGGTAATATCCGCTTTAGGCTTAAATTTTCCTTTCGGTTTTCGCGTTTTTACAATTTTTCCAAAGCTTCCCTAGCAATTTTCTGATTTCGAAACTAAGGGGCTACCTACGTAGGTACTATATGCATAGCTATGTGTTTTTCGATAACCATGGTTATGATTTACTATCGGAATCAGCAATCAACAATTCTGACTTAAGCTGTAGAATGCAGCAACAGCTAAACAAAATAAAGAAAAGCGTTTAAAAGTACAAAGTCGGATGGAAAGCTACGGCGGAAGAAGGAATCACAAGGAAAATTCATAAACGGAAGGGCAGCGAATATTCATGGCGTCATCTTGCCTGGTAATTTTAATATTAATATTAATATTGGTATTATTATTATTCTTGTGAAAGTGAGGGTGAAGGTGGGGTATTGGCATTTGGCACACTCTCAAACGCATAGTCACAGGTTCGAAGCCCGGATCGAAATTCTCCTAGGTCTACCAGACCTTCCGTTCCTCCGGAGTCGGTTGATTGGTCCAGACTCGTCTGGGAGGACTTGTACATCGGCTGGCCACCGGCAAGTCATTGTATAGGCCACATACCCATTCAATACACCACTAGGATTCTGAATTGAAAAGGAATGCAGAGCGCATCTTAAGCGAGATTGTCTAACCCAAAGAATTGACCCTTGTTGTTCACTATTACTGTCACTGCAACTTTGCTAATTAGGCTCTTATTTTTCTTCATCGTTCACAAGCTTTGCAGGGGCAGGTCATGGGGCGTGGTCTGGTCTATGGGAAGGTGTTAACTCCGCAACAAGACAACCGTTATAAAGATTTGGGAGTTACTAGGGCTAAAAAGACGGAGCAGGTCGGCTACCGTTGTTTAAGCGATCAGTTTATCATATCTTGGATCAGATCTGATTATAAACTATGATAAACTGCTTCAGATCCAACTTTTTTTCAATAGTGGCTCGTCGGTAAGAGGTAAGAAGTAAGAAATGTGTGTGAGACAAAAGGTGCTACTTGAATCTCGACTCATCAATGCAGTTGCTTCGTTGTAAAGACCCTACATTCATTCATTCGGCGCTACAGTTTCGAATGAGGGCCTGGAACGATACTTTTTGAGAAGATTGTTAATCAATTGTTATTCTTTCATCTCACTTAAGCTTATGTATCTGCAAAGTTACTGTTCTACGTGGGTTACCCTCGATGACTCATCTATGTAGGTGATACTTGTGGTCGGAAAGGGGCAATTTCCGACCACACTCGACCCTTCGTTGATCATTGTCCAATGCTGATGTCCTGTTTCTGTGCAAAGCTCATCTGCCTATAATAGCGGCACTCCATTGACAGCCTGAAGCATCCCTTTCACCTTTGCACCTAGGGCAGAGACTAGAATAGGGGCAAAAACTTTTTCCTAAACCTAAGCTGGGTCCTGAACTCCTTTCGTAGGTTAAATACGCTATCAAACACCGGATCATTTTGAATAGAAGCTGTTGCGCAGCTTAGTAATCTGGAACGAGACTGCACTGCACTGAAAGCTCTACCTTTATACCCTCCCTTGTAGAACCCAGGCAATTCTGATAACCCTTATTTTCATTAAGGAAGCACTTTTGATCTTGTTGATAATGAGAATGACTCTCGTTCTCGTCCTTCAACCAGGAGGTTCTGAGCATCTAATTAATCACAAGCTCATTACTGCGAACTCCAATAAGAGCTGAGTTACTCACCCATTAAGCTATCATGATGCAATCCCTGCTCAAAATCGTATGGTCGTTTTGTTCGAACATCTGCTTTGTACAACTATGCTAGATACCCTTTTCATGGTAAGAGGGTGGGGAGGGGGAGGGGCCTAGTGACGAGATCTAGGAGAGGCCCGTAAAAAAAGCTCTTCATTATCCCCACTTTCTCGGCTATGTGCCAAGTTTAGATAATTTTTGTGCGATTTTCTTGTTCTCTTCGACCAACTCGGTAAGAAGCAATCAAGATGTGGTTATAGGTTTATTCCGGTTTTTTATTGGAATCCCATTGGCCTAATTATCCTTTTTGTAACTATTACCCCCATCATTTTATTTGAACTGTTATTTAATTTATCTGAGCACTGAATTCAGCGACTGTATTTGAGCGCTGAAATCAGAGATTTTTCAAAGTTATGAGAATTACTTGTTTTTCTTGATGGCATCTCAGATAGCATGACCCGCATTACCAGAAAGAGCAACGGATCCAGTGTACCGTGCTTAAACCCCATTGAAATGCACTGCGCTTCCAACATTCATTCGTAATCACAGAGGTTCTGGGTGGTTGTGGTGTACTGGCAAGAGAGGCCTATACGCTGTTCCGGGGATAAAATCCCGGATCAACAATCACCAAAGCTAACCAGACCTTTATTTCTCTCCAGTTAATTGTAATCTGTAAATGGGTAACGTTCTTGTCTGGAAGGATAAAAGTGCCGACTTTTTCAATGTATAGGCTACGTACGTCATTCAAAACGTCAAAAAAAATAAAAGCCTTATGCGAGGCTCATCTTGAAGTGGAATTCATTAACACTTGGAGATTTTTTCCTTTAACCTTTATCGTCTGAGATAGTCGAAAATCGGAAATCAAAAAGTTTGTAGTGCTTAGAAATATATACAAGGTCAGGAGCGCACTTCCTATGATCAGTTGTCGAAATACGATTCCAAAAATCATACCGATCCTGAGGAGACCCCGGATGCGTAGTACATCAAGCGAGAAATATCTAAACGCGAGCTTTTACTCTTTACTCCTATAACTTTGTTTCAATTTCAGTTTGTTTGAAAGATTATACAAGAACTTCTCTCCCGTCCTAAAGGGTGATCGGTACCATACTTGTCTGGCAGGATAAAATCGCTGACTGTAGGAGGGTGAAGCACTGGCTCTCTATTCTGACGGTGGAAGAAGGTGATTATCAAGGTTAAGCACTGATGACGTAGTTTCCGTTCTTGGAAATTATTGGATTTAATCCAACAAAATGGCCTAACAAAACGTGCTATTAGTCACGACGGACTTCTAATCATCAGCCATTGAACTGGTAATCGATGAGTCATGATTACTACTTCAATAGCTGATGATTACAAGTCTGCAGGAAGTAATCTCTGCCGTGATCGTTGCTCACAGATGGCAATGCCATACGACTTCGAAGCACTCGTATAATCATTACGTAATTAATTACATTATGTTGTTGAATTATGAAAATCGGCCCAACGAGCTCAATCGTTGGTGCACATGACCATTTACGCCATGTATTCAACTTCTAGTCACTAACGCAGGGCATTTGCACATGAATCTATTCTGTGACTCGCATGGCCAGTACTAATGATCACTTTGAGAGAATGGTCTTTTTGGAAGTGAACGATATCAAACAGTCAGTAGATGTTTCTAAAGAGGAGCCACTTCGTGAGAATACCCTCATTCACACGTCTGTCTCTTTACTGAGTTATTATGCAGTGGAAATGACCCTGCTGGTCCACCGTGTAGTACCTTTTGTGACTATGGAAATCGCTGTATTGATAACTAACATAGTCACTCGCATTGGTAACTCTTTCAAGACTAATCAAGTGGAAGTGATAGGCGTGCACCTGGATCTCTCACAATAGAATTACAGTGTGATTATGGAGGTCTCAGATGAATTTTGATGAAGGTGAAAGTTTTGGTTCGTCAAATAAAGTGAACGTCCACTAGTACCCCAAACCGTATTGTGTAACGTCGCTAAAGTTTCTTCAATCTTCCAAGACTTTGCCTGCAATTCAGATGCATTTCGCATCTTAGAGGGACTGCTTGCGTTGTAAAGTTTCAAAATATATCCTTTGGATGAACATTTTCACTAGTAGGCATGGATGTCAATTCTGAATTTCTTCATTGTTTTTCTTTATCAACTTGGACTATGGGAGGAATAAGACGCACGAAGCGGAGATATTGATTGATGTATAATTTTTCACAATATTTATTCATATTTATGAATCTTCGCTCCAGAAATTTTGGTAGGACCAAGGATAAGCGATAAGCGTTCTGCGGAATAATCAGATACAAGCTTAGTTTTCTGCTGAATCTCTTATCAAATCTTAGTACTTCTGGAAGGTCTTGCACTACCTCCAAGTAGGCCAAGAAAAGATTCGATATTGAGGTTATTTTGCTTGCCCAAGCAATTTTTATTTTTATGCATTTACCTATTCAGGACTTTTTTCAAATTGCATACTCCCACCACATACTTTTTTCTATTCTTTTTTTCTGACCCTTAAGGACAATTGAATGATCAAATAATGACGCATTCTTCTAAATGTTATTTATTCATTCTTATGGAATAACCAGTTCTCTGAAGCTCTTTCTGGAATTCTATGAGTCTATAGTTTTCGCTTGCAAGCTCGGAAAGCACATTCTGGCACAATCTGAATTTTTCTTTAGTCCTACATCAGTAATAGGGATAGGGTTCCATAGATCATTTCTAATTGTTCACTTGCGTGATAGGCAATCACAGTCATTAGTATCGATAACGATATTTCTACTTCTTTCTCTTTCTGAAGTAATTAGTACACGGGAGGCTTGTTGAACAAATGTAAAGGAATTGTCCCACAAGTCTGTAGAGTTTCGTTGTGAAATACCATAATTGGTATTCAGAACAGGCCACTGTTCTGCCCTGGAATTTGTACACACTGGTTTTTTCCACTGGGAATTCTCAAACGCAATTTGAGCTCTCACTCTTATCACAAGACCGATGAGGATAAAGGTATCTCTCCATTTTCTTGAGATGCGCCACGAATTCTGATTCAATGAAAGTTTGTAGTCGCATTCAAATGCATTTCGAGGGGTAGAAGTGGAGATGGCATGTGGCAGGCTAACCTCCACGGATGATTCGGGGATCGAAACCCTTTATCGAAAATCCCACGCTAACCGAGCCCCCTTCCCTCTGGGTCTTGTTCATGGGCTGATCACCGGAAAAATCGCTGCTTCTATTTTGGATGTAACTGGTATGCATGGCGCGTTCCAGAAACGGTTATGATCAATGCCAAGTGTCTTCATCCTTTACCCTTGTCCTAATGTATATCTATTTCTCCTGCGCTTGGAATTAACATCTACAGAATGTCACAGTAAAAAAGCCTTTTAAACTTGGAAACGGTATCTACGTAGCCCGCATTATCTCAACAAAGCCACAATTTTCTCATTAGCCTATAATCAATTTTGTGTTTGTGTGTGAATTACGAATTGTACCCTTTTTTTCTCATCCTAACCAAACTTCAAAATTTCTTTGATTTTTTGATTTTTGATTAACTTCCGTGTGAAATAATTGCGAAGAATTTTCAGGAATTCTCTCGAACAGCGAACAATTTCAGAAAGATATGGCAGCTGCTGCCATGCCTAGCGTGACAATTCTTATTGTTTATTTATGTGAAAGTAAGTTGATTTTCTAAATTCCCGACATCAAAATCTTCTTTTCTAGCCTCCACAGCCGCTGGGGCATGTTTATAGAAACATAGAAGTACAAAAAACTCGGCGACTTGACGTCATTTAATCCCGTTTGCGGGATGCGCCCCACATTCGACTTTCACTCTGAATCGTCGTGCTACTTTTGAGTGCATATGTAGCCTATTGAATTATTAGGTTGTAAGGAAAGTTCTGGCCGTTCCCACGTACGTGCCATATGAATTAAAATTTTGGCGGATGTTCATACAGACTAATCGTCATATTGTGCTCCTTAGGAATGTCATTAGTTGCTCTTTCTGTCATAGCGCTTTCCCCAGAATCTGTAAGGTTTTGGAATCTTTAGGAGGTTTTTCTTGGCAGAATGGATAAGACTACTTTTTGAATGGTTTTACTTCACGAGTTC